AAAAAAAAAAAAAAAAAGAAGTTCTATTTGTTTCCCCTGTATTGAAATCTCCAGGTTTTCTGTTTGTTTGAGGTTATTTTGTCAGTTGGGGGCTTGAACTCTGGGCCTGGGTGCTGTCCCTCAGTTCTTCAGCTCAAGGCTAGCACTCTACCACTTGAACCACAGCACCACTTCTGGCTTTTTCTGCTCATCTGTTACTGAGGAATCAAACCTAGGGCCTCAATGCATGCGAGGCATGCACTGTACCACTGAGCCACCTTCCTAGCCAGTAAAACTGTCTAAAAAGAAAAGACAGACAGAACTAGGATGCTAGAAGAAAAGAAGGAAGGAAGACAGACTAAATTATTACTTTTTCTTTGTGGTGTAGATTTATTGTTACTCCATCTAAGTGTTTGGTCTGTTACTCACTCTAAGAATTTCTTACGGATCCATCTCTTACTTTGTGTCAGAAGACCCCTGTCTTTTTTTTTGTCAGTCATTGGGCTTGAACTCTGGGCCTGGGTGCTGTCCCTCAGCTCTTCAGCTCAAGGCTAGTGCTCTACCACTTGAGCCATAGCGCCACTTCTGGTTTTCTGGTGGTTTATTGGAGATAAAAGCCTCATGGAGATGGGAGCCGGTGGCTCACACCTGTAATCCTAACTACTCAGGAGGCTGAGATCTGAGGACCTCGGTTCAATGCCAGCCCAGGCATGAAACTCTGTGAGACTCTTATCTCCAATAAACCACCAGAAAACTGGAAGTGGTGCTGGGGCTCAATTAGTAAAGCACTTGCCTTGAGCTGAAGAGCTGAGGGACAGCACCCAGGCCCAGAGTTCAAGCCCCACGACTGACAAAAAAAAAAGAAAAAAAAAGAATACCTGTATAATACTGTTCAGTGCTATTTTCACCACTTTGTTCACTTGAACTTGTTCAAGAACTGCCTGGGGCTAGTGGCTCAAGTCTAATACTAGCTACTCAAAAGGCTGAGATCTGAGGATCCTAGTTCAAAGCCAAGCTAAACAGAAAAGTTTATGAGACTCTTATCTCCAATTAACCAGCAAAAACAGGAATAGAGGTTTGACTCAAGTGGTCAAGTACCAACCTTAAGCAGGAAAAGCTAAGGGATGGTGCCCAGGCCATGAGTTCAAGCCTCATATTATTAACACAGCCAATCCAAACCAAAACCTCAAGACTTGAGAGACTTGAGACTTGAGCTGTTGAGCTGGTGTGTGTGTGTGTGTGTGTGTGTGTGTGAGAGAGAGAGAGAGAAACTCAAATGGTAGCTTGATTTCCTAACAGGCATGAGATTCTGAGTTCCATGGCTGGGAATGTGGCTTAGTGCTAGAGTGCTTGCCTTGCATGCCGGAAGCCCTGAGTTCAATTCTTCAGTACCACAAAACAGAAAAAACTGGAGATGGTGCTGTGGCTCAAATGATAGAGTGCTGGCCTTGAGCAAAAGAAGCTCAGGAACAGTGCCCAGGCCCTGGATTCAAGCCCCAGAACTGGCACACAATCAATCCTAACATCCATGCCACAAACCATAGCAGGCCCTCTTGTTCACTTCACATGGATCCATGGCTCAAACTCCTTTTCTTTCTTTTTTTTTTAATTGTGAAAATTGTACAGAGGGGTTACAATTACATGGGCAAGGTAATGAGTACATTTCTTGTTTTTTTTTGTTGTTGTTGTTTGTTTTTTGTCGGTCATGGGGTCTGAACTCTGGGCCTGGGCGCTGTCCCTCAGCTCTTCAGCTCAAGGCTAGCACGCTACCACTTGAGCCACAGCGCCACTTCCGGCTTTTTCTGCTTATGTGGTGCTGAGGAATCAAACCCAGGGCCTCATGCATGCAAGGCAAGCACTCTACCA